CACACGTTCAGTTTTGGTGTCGTAAGTAAAAAATGTGTGCTTCTTCTCAGTAAGATACTTGAGAAGACATTTAAATCCGTCCAAGTTCCATGCGAAGAGCATGGAAATCGGAAGTGGTTATCACAATAGGGGGAATCTTTTCCTTCTTGGCATTAAGCCGGGAAAGTTTACTAGAATTTTTCTTAGATGATGGATCATTCTCATCATCCGTGAGCAAATCAAATTGATTACTCAAATTAATTTCATCAGAAGGGGGGTCAAGAGTTTGTTCCTTTCTTTTGCGTTTAGGCGCCATGGCGGCAGTAAATTTTTATCCAAATCTACTTCCAAGCAGATTACTATAAGAATCTGAAGGATCGAAGAGGAATTTTCCAAATCGATATCCAAGAAGGATTACCTCGGGTAGGGTCCAAACAAGGATCGAAGAGGAATAAGAGTTGAACAAGGTAGAAATTTTTTTACAGGTTGAGCACTGAAAAGTGCTGTTCAAATTTGTTGTAGCTTTAGGTAGTAGTAACACTTCCTTAAGCAAAAAGCAAATAGATCCGCACGGCAAGAGAGCACGATGCGGACTGTGACCGTGATGCACCCTAATTCCACTCAGTGCCTAACTCCTTTCACGTGGGTCGAAGCGTTGAATATCAAGCCGATTTGTCATGATCAGTGAATCCAAACACATAGGGCAACCAACGATTAAGACAAAACGCTTGCTACTACTACCACGATAAACTGTCTCTGTAATATGGCTTGATCGGAATTGTAGGAGGATAATGATCTATTGCCTGCCTGCTTTGTTGCAATATACACGGTTGAGGACATAGCTTTTAACTTTTTGTTTTAAGTGCCACGTTATTTTTCACTGATGATTACCAAGACGCAAATGGAGCAGATAATACAGTCAATAGCTATGAATCCAGAAAACAGACGTTCTATTCCCGAAAAAAGACAGGCAATGCATTTATACAAATTAGTATTCATTGGCAAAAAATCTAAGCCACATGCAATGTATTAACATCCGTAATAAGGACACTCTATATATTGTTTTATTTTGAATTAATATTATTTCATTTTTGTAGGTTGATATACCTAATGCTGATCAAGTGATTATAAAAGCTTTAAAAAAACTATTTCATATTCTAAAAATAGTATTCACAACATTTCACAATGCTTGTCTATAGATTAAAAAATGCTGATTATGAGATTAACAAACTATTCATCACTCTTGACAAGCGAATAAATTAAGAAACGCGTCCATCGCATGATAAGCAAATTTTTTAATCAATTCTGGCACCACTGCTAATAATGTTTACATTCGATTATTTTGAAAAAAAAAATCTTCAAAAAAGCCGTCGTATCGTCCTGCAATAGCCAGGAAGGATACGTAAACATTCTGGATCTGGATGGAAAACCTTCAATCCGAAGAAAAGAAAATAAGGCTTTATAGTCGTTGTCACTTTGCCGTTTCCCAGGAGCTGTCAAATGATAGCTCAAATAGAGAAGAAGAAGAAGAAGAAGAAGAAGAAGAAGAAGGGCGAGGAGAAGAAAAGAAAGTCCGGAACCGGTTGAGATCCACGAATGCAGTAGCATCAGGAGAAACAGATACTATAAAAAGGTGAAGATGTCTTGCCAAAAATAAGGACAAACGCTACGAAACATTTTCTGATTTCTGAATATCAGTCAAATAGGTTCTCACCAGCAGCGGCCCAATCACGACACATTGCATTTGCCCTTGGAGGTGTAACTATTGCCACCGACCAGAATTCTACAATAAGTAAACAACAGCGAATGATTTGCAGGAGGATCCGTCATTATCAGCGTTTTGTTATGGTCGAGGATATGGTTGCCAGCAAGCATATTTTTTCGGTTGAAGTTTTGACAGCTCGGTCAACGCATAGAAACACCCAGAAACACATTCCGACACACAAAAACACAATACGCACAGACACAAGGTGGCAGAGTGAATTACCTCCTGATATAGACCCTCTAATAAGCGTGAAGCTTGATAAAATCACCAGATTTATATGTTTATGCGTTGTATATAGGCTTTTATTTCTAAAGTACAATATTGGTTCAGATTAATAGCGAATTCGTTTATTATCCAGGTTGTAACCAGTTCCAACCCGAGCGATACCGAGCTTATTGTCAGTGCGAACCTCAACCCGAGCCAGGTTACAAAACCAAACGTTAACACTGACGTTTGAAAGGCAACAAGCAGTCCCAATCTTGATAACCCACCACCCCCCCTCCCGAATCAAAAACAAAATCGCTGGTTCCGGGTCATTTGGCCGAATGCCGTTTGGCCGAATGCTGTTTGGTCGAATGCCATTGGGCCGAATAAGTCGTTTGGCCGAATGCCGAACAACAAAACTCAAAAGAACTGCTCATGTTTGAAAGAAGGAAAAAGCTCTTAAAATTGTTCAAATAATTTTTAATTAAATTTTTGAACAACCTGCGTTTACTGTGCAAAAAATAAGAAGATCATCAAAACTCCAAAGATCTGCTTATTTAAAAAAAAAGAGTTGCTAAAAATACTAATTACATAACTAAAAGCTCATCTTTATAAGAATAGTGTATTCATCGAAAGTATAAAATTTTAGTTTTATACAATACACAATTGAACCAAAAATCCCATATTTATAATGTCCAAAAAACCATAATTCTGGAGTGATTTGAGATTCTGGCGTAATTGCATTTGTAAACAAACATCTTAAGCACCGATTTCACCGCGAACAAAGCTCAATCTCGAAAAGTAATAACACTATGAGGTAGAGGAATGATTCCTCTATAATTTGGTATAGTTTGTTTGTGAGATTGAGCTTTTATTCAAGAGAAATCAGTAATTGACGTGTTTGTTTACAAAAGCAATTACACCCAAATCTCAAATCACTCCGGAATTGTGGAAAGTAAAAGAAAGTCCATCAGGGCTGCCATTTAGGTTCAAGTAGGGTTCACAAATTGGAAATTTATTTTTAAGTATTCGGCCAAACGACCCATTCGGCCAAACGACCCATTCGGTCAAACGGCATTCGGACAAATGGCATTCGGTCAAACGGCATTCGGACAAATGGCATTCGGCCAAACGGCATTCGGCCAAATGGCCACACACCAAATCGCTATAAGGTTGGATAAAAATTGCTGCAAGAACGTTTAAATAGCAGGAAATTGTTAGCCATGGGAATTAAAAGAAATCAAATTTGAGAGTGAAAATTCTCTCTGACGAGCTCAATCTCTCAACATGCCATGTATGTTGATGACACTGGATTTGTGATTTCCCTCTCACAGACTGCAAAATAGAGTAAAATAGCAGTGTCATCAAAACAGACTCGATAACATAGTTCTAGAAAAGAACTTTAGTGCGAAGAAAGTACAAGTGATCGGGTGAAATGCAATTAAAAGTGCTTCACGGGCAAACCATCGTTCATTTGGTGAGTTCGTTCCTGTTTATATATTCACCTGTTTCGGTTTCTGCAACTTTGTCTTAGACATCATTTCGAAGAGCTGCTTTCGTGCTGTATTTTGATGAGAAATCAAATGTCGAGCGCGCTATTGTCGAAGGTTGGATACGAGTGGGTATGGCCAAGTTTCAACATAGATTTACCAATTGATTCATTCGGCAAGAGAGTCATCCTAGCCGATTTTCTTCTGGTTTTAGACGTTTGATGGTTTGTTCTTGAAAGTTCATGTGCTCATGATTTGCCTGAAGAATTTTTGAACTAGTTTGGAAATAACCCGGAAAAGTCTTGGAAGTGCCTTTGGTTCAACAGTAGTACAGTAGAACAGTAAGAGTACAAAATTATAAAACTGGCTGAGATCTTCCCTTTATTTTCATTTATATGTTCTTATATTTTTTAATATATTTTCATTCTATTACTCTCAACTGAAATCTATTCCTCACCCGTTCGTGTTCAGCGTTGGAACATTTTGCGAGGATTTATGAAGCAAACAAAAGGAAAAGTTCGCGAGTCATTGGCCCTTATTACCGATGTCACTTCACGGTGAAGTGACAACTTGTCACTTATAAGGACCATTGTGAGTTTTAGCAAACTTTTCCTGTAGATTGATAAGAGATCCGCTTTTTCTCAAGGGAAGATAGAACTAGGCTTCCTTCCTCCATTTCCTTTCTCCTACGGCCCTTTATTCAATTTTTCTCTTTTCAGAAAGCGAGTAATGGCGCTATAACCATAAGTCATATTGGCTAGGACAAGAGTTAGTGCTCATGTCCCAACCACTCGAGGAAAATTGAGCATCACCTAATTTTTTTTGGATTAGATTCTCCCAACGACAAAATCAGTTATAAATAACAATACAGTGGAACGTACGGTACGAGATGTCCACGTTTCATCCATTTATTGCATTCTGAAAAATCGTGTTTTAACCTTTGATTTTAACAGGCCCGAATCATCTTGCCCCTTAAATGCTGCACAGTGGGCCTGGCCGTTTCGATATATTTTGCGCATCTCTGATGTTCAAAATATACCAAATAGACAAGAAAAAGGATGGTATATCTATCATTTTCCAAGATGCTTTCATGAACTGGCTGTGTTGGTGTTAGATTAGATTAGATTAGATTAGAAATAGTAGGGTCAGCAAAACATGTCTGGTATATTTATATATGCATTTATGCAAAGTCCCTTGAAAATACTTTTAGGGACAGGGCTCAGATAGTTTTTTTTTTAAGTTAAAAAGGAATGACTTTGAATGTTAATCTAAATACATATTGGCGATCTAACGCTAACATACAGCACCGCTAGTGACAAATAGGAGAACTAGAAAAATGATGATGGTTTCATAAGCAATTTTGAAACCATCATATTTTTTTTTCTATTTCTCCTATTCGCCACGAGTGCTATCGTTAGATCGTCAATATAGCGGTACCAGACCTGTTTTGCACTGCACTGTCCTTTGTTAACAACTAGCAGTGACATCTGATGGAAAATGAATGCAGAAGCTTGACTAAATGCTTAATTGAAAATCAAATTAATAGCAAAGTGTGTACTCACCAGTATTATTTGATACGGTACCAACAACGCTGCGGCTCACTGCGGCTCGATAAACGCTGATGGTACAAGAGCTGACTGTGTTGGTAAAGTCGTCTGTCCTCCACACACTCACAAAGCTCTCCAACAGCCAGACGTTTCACGTTTCTATCGGACTTTTTATTTTGTTTATATATACGGTGTTATGCTAGCGCACTAGCTAAGCTTTCACAGGTTTCGAAATGCTGATATCAGAAAACAACAACACCGAGATATAGCTCTATCATCACTTCAATGCTACACTATCGAGTCGATACGATATCTCTTCATTGGTCACGCGCAACAACCACAGAAGGGAAGTGGCGATCCACTTCTAGATGTCAACATCAAGTTCCTCGGCGGTGGTTCTCCCTCCGTCTAATGTTATTTTCTATGTTGGTGTGCGTTTTTCACTCCTGCTGCTGTTGGTTCACAGCACTTTGGGTACGACTTTTCACAACATACTTTTACGGCTGGTGCAAAAATATAACTCACACGGCTCGATAGAAAAGCGCCACACTATATGTACTTTCACTCACTGTATGATCCAATTTTTCCCTGCTCTGTGCAGTTGGCTCTCCTTCCTGCGCTAACGGGATGGCGATGATGATGAATCGATGATCGATTGCAACCTCCCAAGAAACATTGGGTGGAGCGCTCGGTCCAAACAAAAATACGATAACCTTCCCGTGATTATCGATTGGAGTTCAGTCAACAAACGCGCACCAGTATTTCTATTTATTGTTCCTTTGCTTTTCCCTTGGCTTGAAGTTACCTTACTTTTCACGAAGAAAAGCTACAACGTAATTTCGATTTTCCTTTTATAGGAGGGCCTTCTCAGCAGGAAGTACTTCTCTCACTTCGCGTTGTCAATCACCGTGGGGTCGTGCTTGAAATTTCAGCGAAACGGGAACAATCACTAATCACAACCAAAATTCAATCGACCAGCAGAAGCGATACCATGATGTTTGGGTACCGTCAGAAAAATAAGCACAATAGAGATGGAGTGCGAACTTTTCTTTTATCCAGAGGAGCTAGGAACTTCCCATTGATGTCATCATCATTCTCCAACTACTTTTGCGAAACGAGCCAGCCGGACTTCTCACCGCGACGACGTTCTCCTCCTCCGGCGATGCGATGACAGGCTGCAAAAGAGAAAGAGAGCGAGAAAATCGTGAGAGAATCGGATGAAGTGCGAGAGCGGAAGAAGTGCATGCCCACTAAGAAGAGCATCGGGCTCACGGGCTGCCGTCGGGCTGAGAGAGAAACTTTTTGCTGGTTCTCGCGAGAGTTTGCTCGAACGAAGCGGAAAAGAGAGAAAAATGCGTGAATAAGCTCTCGTGCTCGTAAGTCGTGCTCCGCATCAGCGACCAGCGAGGCAAAAAAAGGAAGAGTGACGGCTCGGCTCGATTCTAATTAGTTTTCATTCCAGTCCGTGGCAGTGCGGTAGTTGACTCAGATCGGCGGATCGGTTCGTCATTCGTTGTTCGTGTAGCCTGCCTTGCGAATGCGTTCGTCGTCGCTTGTGTCTTGTCTTGTGTGCCGCTTTTGCGAAAGCCAGAAAGAAAAGAAAAAATCAAAGTGATAATATCATCATCGTCATCGTTCGTCGGGTCGGGGTGAGGCTCTCTGCAGACTTATGAAAGTCCATAATATCTGGTGCTAGTTTGCGGTGTCGATTTTCCTGCTACCAATTTCCGGTGCCGTCGACGGTTCTGTCCTGTTTCCGGCAGTGACCAAAAAGTGTTTGTTCCTCCCTGAAAAGCGATATTACGGTCCCCAGTGCCAGTGGCAACGAACGGTGCGATGAAAGTGTAACACGCTACGAAGCCCGGAGCTGCTCGGATTACGGATAATGGCGTGAAGTGAATAAAGTAAACATTTTTTTTTTTTCTTTCTATTCGAGTGGAGAAAACAGTATCGTTGGTGGTCGTTGTAATCCGGGTTTGTTCCGTTGCTGGTGGTTCCCAGCAAAGAGTTTAGGAAGGGTAGTGGTTGATAGTATAGTCGCTATATTCATAGTCTGGCGGATATAATCTCGGGAACCAATTGAACCGTCAAATAGCGGAACCAATCGAGCAAATCACCACCAACAACAGAAAAGAGTACATCAGCTATTGCGAACAAAACTTTGGAAACCGTTTTCTCGTGATTCAAGGCTTGCCTACGCAAACTAACACTATCTTTGCGTTGGGGAAAGATGCCCCTATCCGGTGATGCCGGTAATTTGCGTTCGATTGTCGAGGAAAGAATAATCAACGTTTTGTTTATGAATGTTGATAGGACCTTTTCAATTGTTGGTCTACAATATATTGAATTGGTTCCGCTTTTTGATAGATCGGAATTTTATCCGCCAGACTATGAATATAGCGACTATAGTTGATAGTCATTCCTGGTCATCGTCCGTCCGTCACCGTCATTAGCGGTAGAGTGGTAGAATCGTCATCGTCATCATCATCACACAAAGTGGCAACTCTATCTCGGGTCTCCATTTTCCCTGTCCTATCCAACAGAGATTACCGTACGGGGTGCAGTTGCTGTTCGGTATGTTTTCTGTTAGTACCACATAATATGTGTCTGGGTGAAGGTGAATTTTGGGCATATTTTGATTTAACACTTAATGCGTTCATATTTTGCGGAATTGTTGATTTAGTAAAAACTGTCAACTGCAGGCTAACGTAACACTTTAAAAATACAAATACAATTTGCTCCTCTTGCATATTGAGCTTGATCAAAGGCTATGTGGCTTAGGTGGTTTTTAAGCAGGTGAATTTTCACAATTTTCTTTTTATGGTGAATTTAGAAATTTTCTGTTGGTTAATATTTTGCAGATTTTTGGACACCAGTTTCGTCAAGCTTGGTTTTATTTGAACATCGGAAAAAATGAAAATAAGACCGCTTAAAAAATGGGTTGGGTGTACCTATACAATGAGTCAGCACTGCAAATTTAGCTCTTTTCAAGGAGTAGTCAGTCATATTGTAAACTCAACGCGAAGCGCGAAATACTTTTAGATTAATTAAATTAATTTTCGATGACTCAAATGCCATGTTCAAACTAGGAGCTGTAATGTGATAATAAGTTGTTCATAAGACACCAGAACAATTATTACAATACATTATTCTTGTAAACCGAACTTATAGCACTTTACAGCTCTCTAGTATATGGCATAAATGTAATAAATTTTGCATCATAAATTTTAAGATTTATGTTTACAAGTGTTCTGTTCTTCAAAAAATAGTCGAGTTTTGAACGCCTTTGGATACGGTTGTATCTAAATTTGCTCTCTGTTTTGTGCGTGCATTCACTTTCATAGTTTTCGGCTGCATTTGCCGGATTAGCGCTGGCACTCTGCCTCCCGGACGGTTATACGTGTGTGAGTGGTGGTTTTCTCGCTTTCCGAGAAGTTTTAGAATCAAGAAAGAAAACATGATTCATGATGTTTGCAAAATTGAAAGCATCAGAAGATTAGGCGCTGCGTGGTTTTATTGTTTTTCCCGGACCAAAAATTTGTGGCATCGCGAGTGAAAATTTTAATTTCTTTTTATTTACGCGGTGATGAGCACGGCGCTGATCTATTGTTAGGGTTTTGCGATGTGCATTGCTTTTGTGCACGGAGTGTCTTGAAAAAGAAAAGTGAAGAAAAGTGATATTTGGTTGTTGTGTGGTTGGAGTGGAGAGAAAAATATGCGTGGAAGCATCGGGAATGCGCTCCCGGGTGAAGTGATTTGATGAGCACGTTCCAGTTGAAGATTGTTGACAAGTGTATTTGTGGTGATGCAAATTATGGTTTAGATGACGCATGGCTTCAAACATTTTGTGTATCCAAATAAAACATATTACATACTAAATACGCACAGGGCATCGTCTGCTGACCATTGCCGCGGGTATATCGTGGGAGTCCCAGGTACCCGGTTCAAGCTTTAGTTGGCGGCGGTGGCTCTTCTTGACCTTCTATCCCCTGAGTAGTTAGTGTGAATAAGGGCGTCTATGTGATGTTTTGCTGTACCTGTTGTGGACATCTAGTGCACCCTGTTCCCTTAACTTGTTGAGGACACCCTGTCTTGCCTCAAAAGTTACCCTTTTTGAAGAACTAGTCTTCACAACATAAAGGGCACCATTACGGAGCATGAGATTTGATCAAATTATTCGCAGTTCTACTTGTCCAACGCCCCCGGCTGGGTGAGGGATAGAGGATGACACACACACACACACAGTCCGTGGCAGTGCGGTAGTTTTCGCTTTTGGTGGTCTCGCGTTTTGATTGTTTTTCATCGTGCGAATCGATTTTAATCGTACGGGTAAGTGCAACCAGTGCATGCAGTGCGATAACCTTTGGCGTGGCAGCTCTACGTAGACTTAGTGCTGAAGAAATAGTGTATTGCGTATATAGTGTATAACGACCTCAGAACACGGTTGATACGATACAAGAACTTTTCCTGCAGCTCTGTCTTGATCGATGTATGGCGAATCCCCTTCAGTTGCAGAAACCCCAGGTACAGTACCCGTTCGATTTTGACAACAAGCCCGAAAATTTTGTGTTGCCAAAATCGAACCGTGCCAAAATCGAACGGTTATATTTTGAAATTTATTTTATGCTTCCAATGATTTGAACCCCCTAGGAATCATCTTTAAGTCCAAGACAACGTCTCGTTGAACGTCTAATTTTTTTTCCCGCTTATTAAACCGTATGTAAGAAAATGTCAACTCTCCCTCCCCCGTTGCCAGAAACCGTAAGAAATGTTAAGACCTACCTGCCCCCCTATTCCCTTACATAATTTATGGATGACCCCTTTGTTATACAAATTAAATCAACCAAATTTTTTTGACGCAAATTTTATTGTATTTTGTCTGAATCGGAGTCGGAGTCGAGGAGTCGGAGTCGGTAATTTTCAAATCAGAGGAGTCGGAGTCGGTGAATTTTGATCCGACTCCACATCCCTGCCAGCAACTCACCGCGGCCCCCTTATATCCCACGGAGCTGGATGGTAAGGTAGGAGAAGAAAAGAAAATTCTGCGCACTTCGATTTTTTTGTATCTTTTGTTCCCATCGACCATTTTTTTTTAAAACCTGTTATCCTAGTGAAGCCTTTTTTATGCAATTGTTTGGACAACATTTGAAATCAATTCACAACATCATTTCAAATGAGGGGCTTGGAAGGAAAGGGGTGTAAGTGACTTTGATCGATTCTCTTAATCGACTTTCTCTTCTGATAACCATGGCTTTACACACAAATTTCGCGCTATTGCTGCCAGATAGTTTGATAAAGGAGGTTCTCATCTAGCATCCAGAACGGCAAACGCATCAAGGAATGTGTTTACATCTGAGTTATTAACGAAAGAGAAAGTCGATGAAGAAAATCGATCAAAATCACTTACACCCCTTTCCTTCTATCCCCCTCAAATAAAAAAATAAAAATAAAAATCGCTAAGAATGGCCAAATTCGAAATTCAACGTATTCGCAACAACAAACTTTTGCATTCTGAGTGGTGATAATGAGCGGTAATATAGTTAAGTGTATCTATAAAAGTATATAAGGGTTTACAAATCCTTGAAACAGTAAAGAACAAACCACAATGCAGCCTTTGAAATGTACAAAAAAGCACTGTATAAAAGCTCAAAAAGGAACATATGAAAACAAACTTACTATGATTTTCATAAAATCAACTATTATTTCGCTGTAATATGCTCTTGACCTCAAAAAGTAAATTTGGTGTTAATAACCTTTAAACTCAATTGATGTTATTTTTTTTAAACTTTATCCAAAATTTTCACATTAATTCTAGTTGTAACTGGAAAAATTGGGTAAAAATGTGTGAAATTGTTTGCGAGAAATTAAAAAACGGAATCAATTTTTTTTACGAAAAATGCCGTCCTGTCGGCAAGACTCTCCTAAACTTCGGCATAACTTCCGGGAAGATAAGCGGGACCTCCCTAAACTTCAACAATAATTCTCTGATTGTAGGCAGGACTTCCCCAAATTCAACAGGAATTTCTCCAAGTTCCGGAGGACCTCTCTGAACATCAGCGAGACTTCCTTGAAGTTCATCAGGACTCATTTGAACTTCGGTAGAATA